AGTGGCCTTTCTAGACAAGTCAGCTTTTGGCTCCACGGGGGAAAGACGGACTGGATTTCCCACTAGGACTCTAAGGCTGGATCCCACTATAGTAGAGTTTCCTCTCCTCTAAAACAATTCTTACAGGCACTGGCAGATATCTAATAAAGATGTAATTCTTCATGATTGTATCTACGCTTACTAAATGAGCTCACTAGCTACTGATGAATGCATTTTCAAGCCTGCACATAATAAATAAGGATTTCAGACCATTATTTCCACAGCAGACCCATCATTATTTACTACTAGCAGATGTACCCGGCGCTGCTCGGGTCTTTAATTGAAATAATGGGGTTTGTGTGGAAAATAAAAGGAAAATGTACATGGTTTTTTCTTCATTTTTGAAAATTACAATAATTTAACTAAAACAATTATGTATTAATAAAAGAAGGAAAGTGATTCGAACAATAGACAGAACATGCTGATAGACAATCTGTGTAGTTTTTCTTTTGCTAGAATAAAGAGAGGATGGGGTGCAGGATTGAGGGCAGAGGGTGGATGGCTCAGAGCAGAGCGTTCAGTGGGGAGGGCTCAGGGTGGGGGTGCAGAAGTGAGGGCAAGAGGCTGGGAGGCTCAGGGTAAGGGGTGGGACTGCAAGAATGAGAAAAGGGGCCTAGGAAGGCTAGGGGGCAGGGTGCTCAAGTGAGGGAAGGATGGCTCAGAGCACAAGGTTCATGGGGCAGGGCACTCACTCAGAGCAGGCAGCTGGGAAGCAGTGAGCTGAGGAGGGCCGCCCATGGCAGAAGCTCCTACCAGGGGGTCAAGACTGCACTCCCAGGATTGCAGGGACCAGCCCTGGACTCAAGCTGTGACCCCCCCACACACACTCCCCACATTCTGTCTGTGTCAGGGAGAGGAGGTGCTGGTGGTCAGCCCCAGCCTCCAGTGGCCCTCTCTCGGCCTGCAGGCTGTCTGTGGGGAGATGGGCAGGGCTCCAGAGCCAACCCTGACCTCCAGCAGCCCCACCATAGCTGGCAACAGGGGGCTAAACCTGGCCTCCAGGAGCCTCCCTCTTCCCTGCAGGCTGTCCTGCAGGCCGTGGGAGGCAGGCAGCTACTTATCCAGTCTGGTGACAGGCAACATGGTAAGTCCCCACCCTGCTGGCCACTCTCTTGGGGGTGTGTCTGTCCCCACTTGTCTCTCGGGAGGCAGCTCCCTCCTGCACTTACTACCCCCAGTGGTCACGCTCAGGATTGTGTCCTTCCAAACAGCTCTCCCTTTCCATGTTACAGTGAGGGATGTTAAAATGAGTTTAATAAACTAACCCGTAAATGTCAGTGGTTATACAG